CTTAGGATCGCTCAGGTTACCCGCGTCCAAACTAGACTGTACGTTCTTGATGTTGTCGCAGTACTTCTTGGCATCCGTGCGCAGCTGGTCAACGTTGAGCTTTTGGAGGCTGACGACACCAGCGATCTCGTCCACGAAGTCCTCCCACTCAGGATACTGGTTGCGCACGATACGTTCGACAAGATCCGCGAACGTAGTCTCATTCTTGTCGTCCTTGACCATGCCGAGACGGGCTAGAGAGCCCAGCTTGAAGCCCTGGGCTTGCTTGTTGGCGTCGTTCATGAAATTGCCGATGTCCAAGATCAGACCAAGGACATTCATGAGAGCAACCGAATCCCTGAGAGACTCGCTGACCTTGACCACTTGCTGGAGTTTCGTGGAAATATGCTCGTAGTCGGGCTCGAACGACCGTGTCAACGCAAGTGCACGCATTCTCGCCTTCCAGTAGTGGTTCAGTTCGAACGCAGTGTAGAGGTAGATCTGGTCTTCACGGCTGAGCTCATTGGGATCCGATTCTCTCTCGGCGCTAGCTGCATCAGGGCCTGTCCAGTCCCGGCTATACGGAGCCATCAGTTTGGAGATGTTCTCTGGGATGGTGCACAGCTCGTCGCGCTGCATGAAGTCCATGACGACGGCGTTGTCCAGGATATCTGGATCGCAGTGAATCAGCCTCCGCACGACCTCCTCGACCGGGAACTGCGAGAATTTGGCCATCGCGATCTGGAAGTTCTTAGACAGTTCATTGGAGATGATCTGTTTCTTGTCCTTGCGCTGCTTGGCTGCCGTGCCACCGCCGAAGATCTTGGTCTCCTTCGCCATGAACAACCTCTCCACTTCATCCAGCACTCCCTTCTTCGCCAATTCGGAATACTTCTCCTCCTTGGCTTCGGGGTTTACTGCATGGGAAGCCCACACTGTAACCTGTGGAGTATCGACCTTGTCCCAATGCAGTGCCTTGAGCTTCTTCTTGGGCCTGATTGAGGAAAGAACACTGGTCGGGTGAGGTGTAAGGCCCTGCGAAGCCACATAATTGGCTCGCCAGCCTCCATACGAGGCGCCGGGCGGTGGAGGCGGAGGGGGGGCACCAAAGGACATGCCAGGCGGTGGAGGCGGAGGGGGAGCACCAAAAGACATGCCAGGCGGTGGCGGAGGCGGGGGAGGCCCCATTCCACCGGGGACACCCGGTGGAGGAGGAGGCGGCGGCGGGGGAGGGAACCCGGCCCCTCCAGGGGGCGGAGGGGGTGGAGGTGGTGGTGGTGCGGGCGGAGCGCCAGCAGCGAAGCCTGGAGGCGGAGGAGGAGGGGGTGGCGGAGGAGGGGGAGGAGGCATAGCAGCGGGGAGGTCCTTCTCTTCGGTTTGTCCATCTTTCTGGGCCACCGATGGTTCGGTCGGGGTGGCCTCGAGATCTTCGGGCTGCTCTGGAGCAGAGCCCTTGGTATCCGATTCTTCGGCATCGCTACCAATTTTCGGAACCTTGAGGGCGATCTCTCCCAGCAGGCCAGTCGCTTGCTCAGGGTTCATGCGGGGTCGCTGCGTCATTTGATCGAAGGTCTCCTCGTCCTCATCCACCTTCTCCGGTCTTGGCGCAAAGCTATGCTTCCGATAGACAGACCCTAATGCATTTGCCTCGAGATTGCGGCGGGCTTGCTCCTGGAAATCGTCGCTTGGCTCGGTGTCCCCATCCATCTGCTCCCGCAATTCGCGCAGTCGGTCGGAGGGCCCGTGTTGACCCCATACCTTGCCCTCTAGCTTGAATTGTGTCTTGGTCCGTTCGAGCTGCATCTCTAGTCTCCCAAGAAGCTTCTCCCGATCCAGAATGCCTCTCATCTGCGAAGGATCCGTTTCTGCAAGGTTGTTGTTGTTGTTGCTCTTCTTGGCATTGGATGCGGCGATGTCCTGGGCATCCCGAAGCATCAAATAAAGCTCGCGGGTTTCCAGCTCATTTCGCTGAAGTTCCTGGGCACGGAGTCTCTGGACGTCGGCAAGCTCCGCTTTGACAGACTCGTTCTGTCTCGCCTGGAGCTCAATGACGCCGGTTTGCTCATCGATCTGCTTCTGCAACTTCTTGACCAGGCCGTCTGCACCCAGTTCGACCAGCGCTCGCATCTCATCCCGTTCCGCGATAGCAGCCTCCGCGATCTGCCGGGCTTCTAAGGATTCATCGTAGACCTGTCTGGCCTCTGCGTCCGTGTGGAGGCGGTCCAACAGACTCTGGACGGTGAACGACAACCCTTGGCGGAGGTCCAGGTCGGGCAGTCGCCTATCCATGGCAACATAGCTCAGCATAGCATCCACAAGCTGATACATTCGAAGGCCGTCCTCTCCCGAGTTCTCCCGGATCAGGAGCATGTGTTGCATCGCAGAGAGGAAGTAGTCGTGCGCCCTGGTGCCGTTGATCTTCGTGGCGATTGCGTCCGTGATTTGCAACGGATCGCCCATGTCCTTGACCTCGCCTTCGATGCTGTCCTTCGTACTGCTTCCTTCCCGTTGCAGGAGGTCCTCATAGTCGATCGCCTCGTTCTCACGGAAACGCTCGATCTGCTTGTCAATGACCTCGTACTGGAAGCCCTCCATCTTCGTCAGGAGACGCTTGACGCCGCAGGAGATGAACTGAGCGCGAATGTGGCATCGTAATTGTAGATCGCCTTCGCCTGCGTCTACCATCATGTTGATCAGTAGCATAGTGGAAACAGCATATTCCATCAGAAGATTTTCTATGCCAATTCCGCCACTGCGATACTCTTCGCTGGCACCGACCAAACTGCCCATCTTCCCACGACCGTCGACGGTGACTTCAACAATGCGCATCCAAGCATCAAAGCGGCCAGTCTCGCCCTGGTTATTCTTGACATGGTCCATGGCCTGGAGCACTTTCTGGTGGCCGTAGCCATCGGCCCAGTGACAAAGGAATGTCAGGACTTCGCTGACAAGTTTCCTGGTGTTCAAGCGCGGCGACAACAGCGAGCTCACAAGGGACACTATCACCTGCTGGTGCGATAGCGCATCGTCCGCTCCGTATTTGTTGTTCATCAGGGCTTTCAAGCATTTGACGATATCGTATTCACGGTCCAGATCTTTGTCTCCGGTGGGAGGCGCGGGCACCGGACCTGATACCTTTCGCCGGTTGATCTTTGCAAGGACATTTGTCAGGGCTATTTGGCCTTGTGCCTCGACAAACGCCTTCACCCAGCTGATGGGTTGTGTCCTCAGGCTGACACTGAGACTCGCCAGCTGCTTTGACGTGATGCTGTCGTCCATGACCTTTTTGACGTACCACTCCGGGCTACCTTCCTCGTCGGCGCGCTCGAGGATCCCGGACGGGCCATCATGGCCGTGTGTTTGCCGTGCGTTTTGCTTCCGCTTCATCTCTCCTTGTAGCTCCGTCAGCCGGTCCTGATGGACAAGGGTCCACTTCTTCGAAGCGGGATATGCCACCATCTGTCGTTTAGCCTGTTCCGGGAGATTCTGCCAGCCTCTCTTTTGCATCAGCTCCAGAAACAGCTGGTCTACTATCCGGTCATCCCTGGGTCTGGCGAGATACTGTTCGGGATTTGGCGCCCTCAGCAACGGGGAGGTAGACGGGTGAGAAGCTTGCCAGGCCGCTTGTGTAGCTGACAGCCGATTGGAATTTCCGTTGGGAAAGTAGGTATTGCGATCCGCCGAATGCGAAGACGTCAACGTACGGCCGGAACCATCAGAAGAAAAGTAGTTGGACCCTCGCGTATTGGAGGACAACGACGAGTGGATACTAGCCTGGTCCAAGGAAACCCGCGAGTTCGAAGAAGAATCCATTGTCGAGGAGGAGTTGTGACTGAAACCGGTGTTGGCTGCCGAACTCCCGGGTCTCCCCCACTGCTGATACCGGGTTCCCCTGTCACCAGACGAGCTCCCGGTCATAGTCACGTTTGTAGCGTGAGGCGGCGGACGGGGGCCAGTAGGGTGCGAGTAGACGTTGGTGTCCCGGACAGCATTGGGATTCCACACCGGATATTGATGAAAATCGCCCGTTTTTGCAAGATTACTCGGGGATGGCTCTTTCCGCGGCGACACATCGGGCTTGGAAAGAGAATCCACGGGGATGGGTGACCTCGTATCGGCAGGCAAGCTTTCAAACGGTAAAGCCGTGATGACGCCCGCGGACGGCGCCAACGTGGCGGGATCAATCTCCTGGGGATAATCGACGGACTGGACGGAAGAGCGTTTCGAATGTCTAGAGGAACGAGAGCCGGCGGCGCTTCCAGGTGGTGCGAGACTGTCTAGCGACCCATGTCCATCATAACGATCCTCCACGGGCCGGTCCTTGTGTAGCTTCCTTCCGAAAAACGACTTGCCACCCGAGGTCTGTCTCGATTTGTCAGGCGCGGAGGGGGGTGGCATCTTGACGGACGTCGCTGGCCGATGCAAGGCGCAGCATGAGCGGTGGACTGGGGCCTCGTGTCAAACAGTTCTCGTTGCGTTGGTCGCTGATCGGATCGGTAAAAAAAAAAGAAAGAAAGAAGTGTCAAGAGGATGCCACCGTAGTCTGTGGTAATGAACGTGGAGGGGACATTCAACTCCCAAATCTATGCCCGATGTTCTTCTCTGCAATCGGACTAGTCAATCGGTTGGTGAAGACCAACACCCGCTGCGGAGCAGCAGCGAGGAGGGAATCCCAAATACGGAGACTCCACCACCGGTCGATATCGTATGTAGCGCACACACTCACAATGCGGGCACCAACCCGTAAGCAGAGAGGCGATTCGATATCAACACCCGATAGGTTCGCGCAGAAGGGGTTGTATGCAGGAGATCGGCCTCCCTTGGACGGTTCAGGGCTGGATGGAATTGAGGATGCACGGGGCATCAGGGGAGGGGTCTGGGACACAGGCGGCTCTAGAACGCGGTAGCAGCCGCCCTTGCACGTGACGCCCGAACCCAAGGGGCGGTCACGTGGCGGCGTTATCGGGGCCGCCTCAGGCACGGCCGACTTACTTGGAGGTGGAGGCTGTATCTGGATTGAAGCAATTGTCTGGTCAATTTTGATACGCTGATTGCAGTTCTACACTCACACTCGATCGGTTGATATCGGTTTCATGAGGTAATCAACGCTTTGACAGATACTGGATTACACAGCCACTCAATCGGGGCCTACCCGTCAGCACCATTGGACCTGAATAGGCACCCATGCTACTCGCTACGCTTCTCTCTACCTCCCTCTCGTCGCATTCTCGTCGCATGCTATAGCGGACATATACAAAACGGCGATCGTTATCGGCCTATCAGCGGGGGGTGTCGACTGCCAAACACCTGGGACAGAAACAGCTTGTTCTCCATTGGGGGCTGAGACCTCGAACACGACCCATCCAGTCCAGATATCGACTTAACTCCAAGATGGGGTCAGCAGCAAGCTTTGCGAAGGTCTGAACCCTTCTCCTACAGCTCCATTGCCCACGATGGCACCCACACCATGCGCGCAATATACATGCATGACGTACATACTAACCCACCCATCCAGACAATCCTCATCCCCGCCTCCATCTCCCTAACACTCTACCTCCTCCTCTCATTCCTCATCATCCCCTTCTTCCGCCACTACCACCAGCGCTACTCGCAGTACCTCCCGCTTGACACGATATCCGCACACACCTCCACCCTACGCGATCGGATAGCCGACGCCATGATGCGCTTCTTTCTCCCCAGCTCGTGGCGCCAGCACCAGTTGACCGACCACAACGACAATATCAGCATATTGGACGAGGAGGGCGAGCTCATGGTGGGCATGGATATGGGGCCTGGGCGGCGCGAGGCGCTGGAGAGGGGGAGGCATTCGCCGGGTGGGACGGATAGTCGGTTGAGTAGGGATTTGGAGGAGGGGTTTATGGATGATAGTGATGATGAAGGGGATCCGAGAGGGGGTCGTCGGTGACGGGGGGTTTCTGGGGTGGGGTGAGGAACTGTACATATATTAATTTATGGGGCTGTCGGCTGGAGATAGTGGTGGTTGACAGGGTGGATTAAGGAACATCTGAACTTGTTCGCGGGCTGTCTATAGGGGTCTTGCATATCTATACATATTGGTCTTACGAGGCTGGGTGAGTGAGCTCAACCACGGCTGGAGGTACTTCCGGCAAATTCTAAACAGACAACCTTTCCAACTGCGTAGAAAGCCACTACCAATCTGCTGTACTCAAGCAAGTTTGAACAGTAAAAATATTTAATTTTAGGTATCATAACACATCCACAATACTAATCACAGGCCCCGAGGTTGATTCATTTCTTCGTGCGCTGGCCATAAGCCTTGGTAACGTAGTCACCGTCCTTGACAATGAGATCCTCCAGCCTGTAATCATGCTTGCCAGTGAAGTAGCTCTCGAGGATAGACTTGGTGCCGTTGGCGTAGCGGATCTGGGCGTCAATCGAGGTACCGGACATGTGGGGGACCATGGCGTTGCCGCCGCCCCACGGGTGCTGGGCGTAGCGCAGGGGATGGTCCTGGGGAGCGGGCTGGGGGAACCAGACATCACCGCCGTAGCCGCGCAGATGGCCCGACTGGACGGCTTCGGCAACGTCCTCCTTGACGACGATGGCACCACGGGCGGTGTTGATGAGCCAGGCTCCTGTGTCTTGTCAGTCTACGGTTCTTTCTTTGCATGAAACGGGGAAGGCGCGGGGAGGCTTACCCTTCTTCATCTTGGAGATGAGATCCTTGTTGAACAGACCGCGGGTGCTCTCGTGCAGCGGGCAGTTGATGGTGACCACGTCGCACTGGGCGAGCATCTCCTCCAGGTCGTCGACGCGACGGCAGCCGATCTCCTTCTCGACCTCGGGGCTCAGAGGCTGGTAGTCGTAGTAGAGCAGCTCCTTGCAGTCGAAGGGCTTCAGACGGCGGAGCACACGCTCACCGATGCGGCCCACAGCGACGGTTCCGACGACCTTGTTCTCGAGGTCGTACTCGTTCTTGGCCACGGCGGCGACGTCCCACTCCCCGCGGGCGATCTGCTCGTGAGCGGGGACGAAGTTGCGGACCAGGGTCAGGATGGTCATGACGACGTGCTCGGCGACCGAGACCACGTTGCAGCCGGTCACCTCGGCGACGGTGACGCCGCCGTTGGTCTTGTTGGCGGCATTGAGATCGACGTGGTCCGAACCGACACCGGCGGTGACGGCGATCTTCAGGTTCTTGGCCTTGGCCAGACGCTCCGCGGTCAGATAACCGGGGTGGAAGCTATCATGAGGGATTAGTGGGACTGATCAATAGTAAGACCAAGAGGGCGATGGGGGGACCTACGGAGTGGTGATGATGACCTCAGCGTCCACCAGTTCCTTGTCGAAGGTCGAGTTCTCTCCCTCCTTGTCGGAGGTGGTGACCAAGGTGTGACCCTGATCCTCGAGCCACTTTCTCAAGCCCAGCTCGTTCTCGGTGGCGCCCAGCAGACCGGGCTGTTGTCTGGCGTGTTCACCGCCCTGTTTGTCCTTGTTAGATGTTCCTGACTCCGCTTCCAAGGTTGGGAAGAGGTGATGGAGCACTTACGTCATAGAGAACCATAAGAACTTTACCCTGCAAGCTCGCCGATGCGGTTAGCGTACGTGCACCACCGATAAGATTCGCCGTCGGACCCTGAAAGGGACTCCGGGCCATTGGCATGCATCTGGCTTTCGTCGAGGAGAGGAGAGAGGCAGCTGGACGCTGCAGCTGGCGAGACAAGGAGCGGACAAATACCATTTTGAAGAATGACGTGTATCACGTGTCAAAAAGAGACAGAGCAAGAAGTTGTAATTGAAAAGCGGACGGTTCTTCCAGAGGGGTCAGCATGGTTTTTAAAAAAAAAAGGGTAGACCCAAGGAGAGCGGGGGATTGGAATGCAGGAATGCTACGTACTGGTGACGGGAGTAGACTTCGAGATGCAAGGTCGATGAGCTAATCGACCCGAAACAAGTATGATGTTGATGAGCTGGTTTGGGATGGGAAAAGTCAAACCATCAGGGGAATCGTTTAGCTATTATATATAGTAATTTCTGAGACCGCTTTTTCCTGTTTTCTCCTACTTTCCAACATGTTGTCATGTCGGAGATCAGTCGCTGGGTCGGTCTCCTCCACTCCCCATTGTCCCCTCATCAGATTTTCCGCCTTGTACAGATATCGTTGACCTGGCCCATCCATGGGGAGTCGTACCAATTAGGACGGGCGGGTCCTAATTGGCACTGAGGGGAGAATTCCATGAGGTCAGACCCACCATCCTTGATTGGATTGCACCTGGATGAGAGGGGAGGGGAGACATGCAGCCAGAACCATGCGGTGGGACACGAATGATGGGTTGGTGAGGAGGTGGTTTGCTGTTCTCCGCACCGGGACCCGGGTCGATGATGACTGACAGGCTGGGCACCTCAGACCACCACCTATGTGGTTAAGGTTGTACTAGAGGTAGGGACCTTTTCTATTCCTTGTAGATCTGTAGTAGGGTGTACTCCATAGAAGTGGGGCAAGATAGATGCATGCCTAGATGCCTACAAAAACCACTATGATCTCTTTTGGCCTACCAAATGAGTAGGATCTTCCTAGTGCCATTACTATCAAATCAGAATGTAAATCTTGTTTTCAAAATCTGGATTACTACCTGCAGGCCAACTTGAAGCGAACGCTGCTCTTCCAATGGAACGAACCAGCGGGACCAGTACATTGCTGTCTTGACAATCCCCTCACGCACTATTCCGCAATCGGGGTTGCCCCGCACGAGGGGTCTACTTACCCCTCATGAGGAGACTAAGATTATTGTTCACCCCTCACCCATTCCTCCATCGAATCATCAAGTTATCACTGGTTAATCCTCTACATTTCAATATAGAAGAGAAGTAGATTGACCTATATTTGCTGTATTAGCCTAGCAGGGATCAAGAAATAGAACACAGCAATATAAAAGAGATACATATCCACAACAAAATGTGATAATGAGACGAATGTCCCAGCGAAATGCTGTCCCCAAAACGTCACTCCAAATCCATACCCACCATCCATGTCATTGTTTCAGATCCGAGTTTCCGCCGTACCACCACCGACCGATCATATCGCTCTCATGTAAACGGGAAAGATAACCATCATCACCGCTAGAACCGGCACTATCCGTACAATAGGGGCAAACAGGCAAGAAAAAGCCGAGATCCGCATGTTGAGAACCCGCGGACCAATGTTTGCTCAGCCGTGCGGGGAAAATGAATCCAGCAGGCTATCCACTCCACTCCATTCAGGTTCCAGGCTCTAAGTAGGTTCCCCTCAGCTCTCTCCTCTCTCCTCTCTCCTCTCTCCTCCCCCCACCTCCTCCAACACCACACACAACTGGCTATGGAAATGGGGGCAACATCACACGACTTGCACGGGCTGGTTGGAAATAATGGGCGCGCACGGTTGGTGGGTTGGTGGTTTTTGCGACTAGGGCTGTTACCTGTGAATGTTTGATGGAACAAGGTTTTTTTTGGGGAGAACATCATGCTGGCATTTTGAGGTCATGATTCGAATGTATGGTTCGGATGACATGTTGCTTTTGGAAAAGTTTAATGCGCGTAGGTCAGTATGAGGTCCTTTCCCTCCTTTCTTGTCCGTCCTTATCTTACTTCTTCTTTGAAAATATGAGTCTTATTTCTATAGTTACACGTCGATTATATATACGGTCTATCCAACCGCAAAACGACCAGAATGGCCCGACTCAGGCTAAAATACAACATTCACCAACTTCCCCCCCTTAACAACAATCACCCGCCGTCGCTTCTCCCAATCGTTCTTCTCCCGCAACCACACCCGGCCTTCCTCAGTATCAAGGAGACGGTCGATGATCCACGCTTGCTCTTCGACAGTGGGCCCACCTTTGCGGCCGGCGTCGGCCGGCGTCGTCGTCGCTGACAGTCGTCGGGGGATCGTGACGCTGAATCGCAATTTCCCGTTGATCTGCACCGCGACGGTTTGGCCTCCCCGGGTGGACAGAGCGTCCGCTTGATCGGGACTTAGAAGGGGGGTCGGCCATGGGCAGTCGAAGACTGTGGGTACACTTGCCGCGGGGTCGCTGAGTACAGCGCGGTTGAGGATCTCCCAGCTTTCGGAGGAGAGTCCGGGTGCAACGGGGGCCAGGAGACGGAGGAGTGACGAAACACACAGGTAGAGGATTTGCGGGGAATCGGGGGCCGATGACGACAGCGTATTGGTCAGTTTCGTCAGATCGGAGATGACCGTGTTCAATCCGTAGGGATTGTGTTCGATGCAGTGGGTAATGGACGATATGGTCCGGTGAGTAAAGAGGACGGAGTTCACGTCGTTGTCACCGAGACTCTCCAAGGAGCTGGGGAGGGGGATGGCGTGGCCGGAGGGTGCCGTCAAGTCAGACCGGTTGATACGGAGGGAAGCAGACTCCGATGCGAATCGTTCATTCGCGTCCAGCACGACCTTCCAGAGCCGTTTGAACCACCGCTCAATCCCCACGATCTTCCCCTCGTCCCATTCCAGCACTTCACTGACTGGTGCCGAGAAGAGCACATGCGCGCGAGTAGCGTCAGCCCCGTAGGTTGAAGTGCAGCTGGTGGGGTCAACACCGTTGTGCTTGCTCTTGGACATTTTCTCAAAGGATACACTGGGCGTGATCTCGGTTCCCTTTATCAGAGGCTTGTCTGGGCTCGAGAGGTCCACCTCGGAAGGATGGAGGAATCGGCCAGTCGATGGGTCCGAAAAGGTCTTGCCGTGGACCATTCCTTGGGAAAGCAAGGTCTTGAACGGCTCCGCGGGCCCCGCAAGGCTACCGGCATGGGAGATCTCGGGGAATAGCTCCGACTGGGAGAGGAACTTGTAGATGAAGCGAGCGTAAAGCAGGTGCAATATGGCGTGCTCGACACCTCCGACGTAAACATCGACGGGCCGGACTTTGGACGGCGAGAACGGCGATGCCTTATTCGCGGGATCCAAGTAGCGCAGATAGTACCACGAGGAATCCACAAAAGTGTCCATGGTGTCGGTGTCGCGTCGCGCAGAACCGCCGCATTTTGGACACTCCGTGTGCACCCATTCTTCATTGGACTCGAGGGGATTGCCGCGCTTTCCTTTGAGCCATTCTCCCTCGATTTTGGGCAACTCTATAGGAAGCTGGTCATCCGGGACCGGTACAGAACCACAGTCACCGCAGTGAATGATGGGGATCGGGGTTCCCCAGTAACGCTGTCTGCTAATCAACCAGTCTCTCAACCGCCACTGTTCGACAAAGTCTCCATGTTCCACACGGATCAGGTCCTTCACTATCTGCTCACCGGCTTCCCGGGAATGTAGACCCTGATATTTCCAGCAACGTGATGTCAGGAACCCTTCCTGGGTGAAAGCCTCGGCCTGACTGGCGGACACCACACCGGGGTTTGCTTCCTTTGTCTCCGCTGGGCGCTCTGGTTGGACCACGATCGCGATTTCCTCAGGATTCATGTTATCTTTGAAAAAGGCCAAGTCTCGCGAGTCATGACCGGGGACTCCCATTACTGCGCCTTCACCGTAGTCGCCGAGAACGTAGGGCGCGACGAACACGGGCAGCCTCTGGGCAATGTGAGTAGTCTCCTTGTCGATGATGTGCAGTGGATTCGAAGCGCTCACGGTCGGCAGCTGATAGCCAACCTTGGAATCCGGCGGAAGAGAGGCAGCCTCCTCCAAAAACTTGCGGAGGCCCGCATCCTCCTGCGCAGCCGCCTGGACAATAGGGTGGTTTAACGAAAGGGCGAGATACTCCACACCGTAGAGTGTGTCGGGTCGGGTTGTGAAGACATTGATATCGCGTTGGGCACCTCCGCCCTCACCGACTGATACAGGAAATGTGACTTTGGCGCCGTACGATTTTCCGAGCCAGTTGCGCTGCATCGAGACTACCCGGTCCGGCCAGCCGCCCGATAGAGAATCGAGGTCCTTCAGTAGAGCCTCCTTGAAGGCTGTAATCCGAAAGAACCATTGCTTCAAGTTCAATTGTTCGACCTTGGCCCCTGAGCGCCAGGAGAAGCCATTCGCATCAACCTGACCGACAGTTAGTCTCGTCGACAGGTTATAGTCTCCCCAAGCACACCCACCTGTTCATTCGCCAGCACGGTCTTATCGACTGGGTCGTAATTGACGAGGGCCTCCGCCTGATATGCTAGGCCTTGTTTATAGAGCATCAGGAATATCCGTTGCGTGTGTTCGTAGAATTCAGGTGCGCAGGTTGCCAGTTCCTGTTTGTTTCAAATTTCACAGTTCACCGTCAGCAGAAGCCTTTACTCATTGATTGCAAAATGACACTTACCCGATCCCAGTCAAAAGAGGCTGAGATACTCCGCAACTGCTCCTTCATCTTCGTAATGTTTTCCTTGGTCCAATCGGCAGGATTAATGCCGCGTTCGATGGCCGCATTCTCCGCCGGTAACCCAAAGGCATCCCAACCCATTGGATGAATGACCTCATGACCGCGCATACGGTAGAACCGCGAGAGCACATCCGAGATTGTATAAACCCGCAAGTGACCCATATGTAGCGTTCCCGAAGGGTAAGGAAACATGGACAAAACGTAGGATTTAGGCTTTTTCTCCGTCGCACCTCCGCCCGTTCTCTGTTCCGTCACGGGAGCCTCGGGTGGTGACAGCCCGTCTGTTTTCCATTTCTCCTGCCATTTCCTATCAATGGCTAGCAGGTCGAGTTTTCTGGATATAGAGTCGGGTGCGGACGTCGTGGCAAAGCGCATGGGAGCGGGCAGGCGGCATGGGCGAAATCCGCACCGCAATCGCCCTTGCGCAAAGACCGTCCGAGGTGGACTCAGCCGGGGACGAAAGAAGGAGTTCATAATCGCCGTGTAATCATTATGTTGTGCGCGAGGGAGCAATAGAGGACCGCTGAACAGAGCGACTGGGGAGGATCAACAATTGCTTCTGTTGAGGTGTGACTTCATATCAATATGACTGATGTTTTCTCCGACGCGGCGGGCGGAGTGGAAGCTAGACCTAATCTGGTATAGCGCATCTAACGGGAGCTCCGGCCTCAGGCCACCATATAGTATACTGTCCATGATGCTATAGATACAAAATCGTATATTTAAAGATGTCAGTATAGGTGGATACAAAATTAGAATATGAAGCAATAAATGATCTGACTGATAGTAAGAAGGTCCCGAAAATAGTTTAATTGAATGTCATTTGCGATCGGACAAACTTTAATCGACCGGACCATATTCCTAGGGTTGGTGTATAGCTCGTAGGTAGTAAATGATACCTTGCACGACTGAATGCCGTCGATATGGACACTCTAGTGGAGCTTGACTCTAAGAATTCTGACATTTATAGATTGGTACTTTTTGGGAAACTACCGGACAGACGCTCTGGAAACAAAACTATAATTTATTATATAGACATGCGCAGGTGGAAGTGCGCTCCGACTTCGTTTAGGGGTATCTCTCTGCATCGTGAACCAGATATGGCACGTTTACCAATGGAGACTAGACGTGTTAATGTGATCTATGTAGAGCATCATAATAGGGGGTTGACTGATAAATATCTTGTATAATAGAGGACTTGTCATCTCTATGATCCACGGTTAGAGATATAAAGAATTAGGTAGATACATTCATCCAGGGGTCAGGGCCGATTTGCGTATTTGCTAAAGAAGTAACCAACATCCACGTACTATTGTTTCGACATGATCCTTTGTCTCAAAGTGTCATATATCATCGCCCTTTCGCCCCTTTTTCAGGGCTATTTTTATGGCAGTGCCTGGACCAGACAATGAACACGGGAAGACAGGCTCATCCCGAGCCGGACTCCTGACTTCTGCCAATAGATCAGCGATCCGGGTGGTAATTTCTATTTTAACATTGACCCCCATTTCTTCATTCTTCTAGCATCGATAGATGGGACCAGATCGACCAAAGTTCCGGCGGGTTGGGATGCAATGGAAGAGACAAAGGTGATGGCTGCCTGAAGTTGCTGGCAGCGGGATGATGGGTAATCACTTCGTCTGGGTTAACCAACTACTGTTCATTCTTATTGTTCTTTAACTTCCCTGGTACAACTACCGCGACTGCCGAAACTGAGCCATGGTACTGCTCCAATTGAGTGATTAGTGGTTTAACTTTTCAACGACATGTGTGAAACTCGGAAGAATGTATGTCTTCAAAATCCAGTATCAATGTAATTGTCATCACCGTCCGTCTACAAGGTATTCCATGACCCCTCCCAGAGCTGGCGAACATCGGCATACGTTTAACAGAATGATTGAAATCCGATTCCTTGATCCTCCTTGGGCTTCCCCAAATGGTCAGTGTTGATCATGAGCGACCGAGTTGTTCGGAGCAAGAATGGCCAATGGTGGGAAAACGCCGTCGCTACTGCAAGTCTGCGACTGTCAGTCTCCACCGAGATGTGTTGGCAGCCTTGGGAGCGAGAATGATCCTGCCCCGTACCGAGGGGAAACGTTGGTCTCTGAATTCAAATCAATGATTGGGCTGGGCGATTGACCAGGGACGGATCCCCCTTTCTCCATCTCCAATCACATTAGTGACGCCGTCTGGTATTATCGGCTTGCTTTAACGCCCTCAGCCACACTGCCGGAGTGGATCGATCTCCGGTCTCCTTGAGGGTCTCGAACTCCACCAGCGGTTAGACTGGTCACAATTCGGACTGGCTCCCTCGTGGAGGACCTGCCCGAGGACGACGACGGCGTGACATCCGAGATTCCACAGCCCTCGAGTTGTCGAAATGACAAAGTTGGACGACATCCATCTATTCATCCGTACGTACCTGCATACGTCCAAACATACATACATACATACATACATACACACATCCAGCCATTCATACACATACGCACACATACACAAGGTTAGAGTACACCTGTAAGAGGACGCACGGGCAGGACCTTGCAGCCTTCCCTGCATTGTGCCTGGCTGGCTGGGCTTCTTGCAGCCTGGCTTTGCATCTCATCCCCCCAGAAGAGGATTAGTTGGGATGATCCCACGGTGGAACTTGGAAGCCCCCTGATCTTGGGGGATTTATGTAACCTTGGAAATCGCCATTAATAATAATAGCATCGGGTACTAATCTGCTATCCAGCCGGACAGGGGCCGATGGGGAACTGATCTGATCCGCGAACCACCAAGCGAAATGACCTCGATCGGGTTAATTTCGAGAACACTCCCCTACCATGGATATGAAGATGATTCCGTCGGGGATGAATACCATTATGGATCTGCTTATTATGAGAGTGCCGACGATCACTCATCCACATATGTCTTAGGGCCGGATGACGACGAGCCCGTCTTCTCTGGCCTTTTGTGTCCCTCATGAACTCCATGAAAATCATTACGGCGCGCCTTTCCCGAAAATCAGTTACACTGAGCAATCTCGATGGAACACAGACACGGTGTACATGTTCCACCTCGAAATCTATTTTTTTTAATGGAGAGGGTCTCTTTTTGGGCCACCCCTTCCTGAGTTCCCAATCGTGGGGTTTCAAACCAGTGCTTTAGAGCGTGCGCAGCATGCATTAACTCCTCCCTAGATACAGCGACTCGTTCACCGCTGAGCAGCGAGATTCCGGGGCGTCCGCTAAAATTCTAGCTCGACTTTTAGCTTGACTCTAGGGGGTGGAAGGAGTTCGTCTTTTTTTCTTTTTTGACTTTTGCTTAATTTCTTTTTTTGAATTCGTACCCTTTTCCGAAGCCAAATGGAATTATAGATAAGTGCTGTTGCCGCCGCATCGATCTCAGCCGCTCGTTTCAGGTTTTTGGGTCTCTTTGCTTCCAGTCGTTCTGCTCTTTGTCGTTCTTTTAGAAACTCTTAGTTTCGTGCCTGTCTTTCCCCTCGAGCTCGACGCTCGTTTCTCTCATTCTTGCAATTTGGCCTTTTTGCGCTTCTGTTCCATTCTGCTTTGCTTTGCTGGGCTTGACCCCGCTTACCCAACTCTCGACGTGAATTGGTTCTTCTTTCGGTTCCGTCGGTTCCACATTCATTCTGAAGCTTGACTGTTCTAGATCATATCTACATCGGTTCAGTTGACCATTGTTTATTGCGCCCGCTTTCTTGCCGACAACAACATTCCTGGTTGCATCACTTCCACCCCCCCAGTCGATTTGCTGACCACAACCAAAATAAAGACGGAATTCCCCAGTCCCAGTCTTTATCTCAGCAGAATTGTCTGTCGATTGCTTGTTTTATTCACCAAATTTGCCCTTGTTAATCTTTTGCTCAGCAGCCATTGATGATCTTACATTGTTGTTTTTGATACGCCGTATTTTGTTTCCACTTTTTAATTAATTGCCTTGTTGTGTTTATTTTTTCTTTCCCCCACCCCATATAGACCGTCTTGTGTTTCCTTGGGACGTTTAATTCATGCCTGTCTAATATCTACTGTTGGTAATTACTGATAATGAACTAATCCCGAATTGCCTCGACGACATGCGCTCCAGTGGTTCCTCGAGAAATTCGTCTCCGAAGCGGAGAGCTCTCCACGAGCGAACCCCATCGCACACGAACGAGTCATCTCCCCCGACATCCTTACGAGCGGCTAGCGACAAGGTTCACCACCGAGACAACGACCAGGGGGAGGGCGACGAGGAACGAGGAGTCTACACGAGTAATCCGTACCCCACCAAGCCGGAGCATGTCCTTCTTCCGCGCCCCGGGAAAGGGCACGAGTTCGTTCCGGACGCGCGATTCCATGTGGACGAGGCACCGCACGAATCCTCCCGCACCGTCTCGACCGATGTGAGCCAAGGGCCGGATAGCAGTCTGGTCCGCTCCATCAGCGATCCATGGGACCTGTCGTCAACGTTCGATGCCGAAAACACCCCGTCCCAGGTCTGGGAGGACGACCCAAAGTCCAGCAAATCGACCTTCCCGGACCCAGATTCAGAACTCTCGGAATCCAAGCCCCGCGAGCACGGTTCCGACCAGGGGTCGATCGCCGCGTACTCGGACGATGAACCGAACACGTTGCCCGCAGCGGCTCCCACGATCAAGACCGTCATCTCGGAGCCATCTTCCCGCCAGGCTTCGATGCGCGAGCATGCCAACTCGAGCCACTCCAGCCCTAATGTGAGACCGATCGGTCCACCGTCAAGCCCCAATTTCGTCGAACTTGACAATTCGAGTCTCAACTTTGTCCGGCTCGGCGCCTCCTCCAACCCCGACACCGGATCTCGCTCCAATTCCCTTTCGTCGTTGAACTCGTTGGGTACCGTGATCCGGTATGCGGGAGCTGCTCAGTGGACACATGGCTCTTCCTCCGGCTCTAGTTCGAAGTCGCGGTCACGCTCCCGTTCGCATTCCATCCGTTCTCACCGCCACTATCCCTCGATTCCATCCGTACGGTCGATGTCGACCCAACCCCGGGAACGCAGCCATTCTGGTTCCGCCACCGAGTCTTCTCGAAGCGGCCCGCCGTCCGACATCCAAGCCATTGTGGACAGCGGGGTTTTCATCCAGTATCCGAGCATTCGAGAGCCCTCGTCCTCCAGCTCTAGGGTCGACGTATCGCTCTCCGCCGACTCCGAGCACACCCCGGACTTCCCGTCGGATCAATCCTCCGAGCGTTTCAAGTCCCACTTGTCCACTGTAAGCTCTCGGTGGTCGGCGGAGTATGACTCAAGGGGCCCCTCGCCGGCAGACGAACCCACGCAAAATACACTGGAGGAGCCCTCCCGACCCCCGGCAGCGCTCGCGCGGCAGAGGCCCGCGTCGTCCTCGATGTGGCTGGTTGATGCCTCAGGATGTGATGAGTCGATGGATAACATCTCTAATCTCCCCACGCGGCCCACAAACCCGGCGGTGCCAAATAGCCTGTCTTCTGGTTCGCGCCAGAGCAGTGTACGGAGCAATAAGCGGCCCGGCACAGCGTCCAGCATCGCCTATCATATCCTCCCCAACTGGGCCCGGATGTATTATCAAATGGAGGGACAAGCCGAGAATTCAGCCCTATCGGTGGTCGAAGCCCACCATGCGCCCGAGGCGCGTCCAAAGAGCACCCATGCTCACCCTCTGTCACGCATGGAAACCACGATCAGTCGGCCACGCACTGGCACAAACGCAAGCCGGCAGAGTGTGCGGTGGCATCCCGATCCCCGCGACCCCCGAAGCCACTGGGTCAAGGGCATGGATCCCGAGGGCAGGCCTGGGACTTCGCGGGACCGTTTGCGAAGTAGTTGGTCCGCTCATCTCTATCCGGACAGGCGTGCTGTGCAGCACCGCGCCAACGCCTGGACGGCACCCTCTATGGATTCCAGATCCGAGCCTTTGCTCGGCCGGAGGAACATCCAAGTATGGTCTTTCAGCGTGGGGTTCATTTTCCCGATTGGTAGGTCCGCCTTGAATGAAATTGTTGGATTGTCGCACCCGTGAATCGACTTACTGATCGGATTTCTTTCCAGCCTGGCTCGTGGCAGCGTTTCTCCCACTACCCCGAAAACCCGAGATGATCCTGGAGGAAGATACCGACTCCGAACTTGAATCGACTCTTCGGATGCGACTGTTCGATGTTGAGCGGAGGCGCTATGAGAATGCCCGCTGGTGGCGGAACCTCAACCGATGGATGAACCCGCTGGGCCTGGTCATTCTCACCATCGTTGTATGTGACATCTCCCCTTGTCTTGATGTAGTAGGTGTGAAATGTGGATCTAACCCTTGACAGATCACCCTGGCTGTTGTAGGGACGACAGTAGGCTTTTGAATTAGCCTTTTATTTTTATTTTTGTTCGCCAATTCGTGCAGACGGAGGTTCACCCGACCTCCAACCCCTTCAGCACGCCGATTGGATCGAACATTGTTCTTGATTTACTTCGTTTGGAGCCAATTGTGCTTGATACCCCTTCTTCTTTTCTCCGTTCCGCACCCTGTTTACTCTACTCTACCTTCCGCTTCATTTCCGTTCATCCCCGGTGTATGGCTGCTTGCATATCTCTTCGCATTTTTGGTTCGTTTTTAGAAAAAGCTAACTCGACACGACTCGACGACTGTGATGCACATAATGTTTGTTGTTTATTATTATTACTATTGTTTTCATCATCTCTTTCTATCATCGGTTTGTGACCTTGATCTCCATCCAGGTGTTTGGTTTTGCTTTTATCTATCTGCTACTGCTTTGTTTCCGTCGACTGATGGAAACAAAGCAGTGGTCTGTGGCTGGAGCACAGCAGGCAAAAGGTTTTTTTCTCCATTGGGGCTTTGGACCGATTCTGGAAATATATATATATATACTTGCGTTGCTTTCGTCTCCTCCTGTTTACTTGGGAGGATCCTCATTTTGTTGTTCTTTTCTGACCCCGCCCGTGTATTTATGGATGTGTGTTAGATTACGTGAGTGTCCAACTTATTCACTTTTAGAGATTTATTGATTGGTTGTATATTGCTATGTGCATGGTTTCTTTCTTCTAGTAAGTGGGGTGGAATTTGTTGTAGTCCAAACAATAGATAGACAGCTGGTAATGCCCGAAAAGCCAACAGTGAGATCGTGTGTCGCTTATTCAAAAAACGCCTCTATGTAGTCACTTGTATCCGTTCCTCGGAGAGACATACGTAAACTGGGAGGGTGACAAGCGAGAGGTCACGAAAGCGCACGGCCGATCTTACTCTCCACAGCAGCCTTCAAGCTCTCGCCCGTGGGCATATTCGCCACACTACCGCGGCGCCGTCGCGCGTCGATCTCAGCCTTAATTTCCTGCACGGCTTCGTCGAAACCCTCGATGGGGTCCTCGGGGAGGCCGAGAGTCGGCTGGAGATTGTCGGTGCTCGTTGTGCGCGGGGCGTGAGGGCGGTTGCGCGCTTTGAGTTTCCGGATGAGGAGGGCTTTGGCGGGGCTGGCGAAGAAGGCGATGGCGATGGCGTTGCCGATGATGCCGTAGAAGTACACGCTGCGCCAGACGCTGATTGAGGGGCCGAAGGAGAGGAAGATGAATGGCATTACGGCGAATGAGAGGGTGAGCTGCGTGACGACCCAGCTGGCTATGTCGTAGTAGCGCTTGTAGGGGGTGGGTCGGCTGCCGTCGGGGGTAAGGAAGAATGGGCGCACATGGCGACGGAAGTCTGGAGGGGTGTGAGAATGGGGAATGGGAAGGAGTGGGGGGGTGTGGGATGGGAAGAGGAAGACTCACTCTTTGCGACGGTTTGGATGAAGGATCCCAGGACAAAAGTCAGGTAGTAGCCCGGGTAGAAGCCGTGCCAGAAGGCGCTGGTCGCAAAGGTCGCCAGGCTGGCGCGGAAGCCAGGCTTCTTGCCCTTCGGGGTGACGCGCAGATAGACGTAGTTTCGCAGCCAGTGGTTGGTGTTCTTGTTCCAGCTGCCCAGGTATGCGTGGGAATTCTGAGCCGTCTCCAAACCCCACGGATCTACATTTTCCAGGCGATTCCAGAAGACCTTGCCGGACTTGGGGTCGAAGCCGTTGTATCCCATGCCGGAGAGAATGCAGGCGCCCTCGGTGAGGGCCCACACGCCGTAGTACTTGACTCGTGTAGTGAAGCCGAGGAGGTACAGGACCCAGACGCGGCGGAGGAAGCCCAGTTGGAAATAGCTCTCCTCCTGCACGGTGTCTTGGTTATAGACCGAGTTCAGCTGCAGGAACACGAAGATCCACACCAGGCCCATCACAGCCTTTTTGGTGGCCGGGGTGCCACTGCGGGGAATCTTGCGCTTCTTGCGCGTTGGTGGCACCTTGGACGGGTCGGTCCCCGGGGGCACTTCGAAGAGCGTGGTGTCGATCCACCGGCGGTAGTCGTTGTACTCGAAGGACGGGCCGCCGAAGAGAGACGGGAAGAAGAGGATGTAGCCCAAGTAGTCGAGGAGACCCGGGAATTCTCGGATGGCCGCGTACTTTTGCGGATCCGACAACTGCTCTGGCGGGAGGCGACCATCGTGAACATTCCAACAGAACGACGACAGCTTCATGACCATCACCATCTGGGCGCCGGTAATATCGACGGCCTGCGGCTGCTCGATAATTTGACGATAGATGTGGCTGATGGACATGTGGCCCATCAGGACGATGAATCCGATCCAGGGCATCAAGGATCCATCGACGTAGTATGCGATCGCATAGATAGCCGAGGCACTGTAAGCTAGGGTACGAATGCCATCCCAGAGATCGAACAGGCCGACCAGATAGAACAGCGACACCCCAATGATGAACGCATTCTTCTTGGCAGGCTGAGCGTCGGGAATCCTCTTCAGCAGACCGGCAAGAGGGTAAGACAGGAGAAACGAAGCAATGAGTTTCACTATAGGAAAGGTTAAAGACCTTGAAATTAGCGGTGTGAAACAGGAGCAAAGCCAGCGTTCGAATTCAAACGTGGTTAAGGAGAGGAAGAAGGTCGTACACTCATCCACCGAGGCTCCGGTGAGTCTCGCAGGGTAGTCAAACACTGAAAACGACAATCATTCGGGTCAGTCAAGTCGTAACAGAAAGGAAGCTGGGAGGAGAGCAACCCACGGAGATTGACGTAAGGCAACATGATGAGCTCCGAACGCGCGCGCGTCAGAGAGAGAGAAATGGATTAGAATAGAAAGGACTGGACTGCAGGGAGCAACATGGGAGGCGACAAGAACGGAAGATTCTTGAGCGAAGAAGATCCTCGAACCGCGATGTGAAGAGAAGAAGAAGAAGAAGAAGAAGAAGTGGAAGAAGAAGAGAAGTTGAGAGAAGAGAAAGATGACGATCCGCCGCTTGGCGTCCGCGGATCTTCTGGACTTCGGCTTCATGAACACGTCCTCCTCTTCCTTCTTCTCCCTCTTCTCCTCTCTCCCTCCTCTCCAATTCCTTTGTCTACTCTCCTCATTCATATCCTATTTTTGTGCTCTCTCATGGTTCTTCTTTACGTCACTCAATTAATTGATCCCTCTATCTTCATCCCCTAATCGACTGTCCCTGGAATCACTTCCCCACCCCCTCACCATGGACGTCGTCGCCGCCGTATCCGGGTACATCTCCAGGATGGTCACGGCTGGTGATTCCGCGTCAGCCTCGTCCTCCTTGTCCTCCTCCTCCGCTAAGATGAAGATCTTGCTTCTGGATAGTGAGACAGTGGGTACCACCGCCTTCCCTTTCCCTCCTCTCTGGTCCCCTGCGCCCGCGATGTCATGGTTTCGCTGACGGAAGATGGATGATTCTCTAGGTCCCCATCGTGTCCACGGCCATCACACAATCAGCTCTCCTGAATCATGAGGTGTACCTGATCGATCGGTTGGATAATGCCGCGCGGGAGAAAATGCGACATCTGCGCTGCCTGTGCTTCGTGCGCCCCTCCCCAACCTCGATTCAGTTTCTCATCGACGAACTCCGCGAGCCCAAGTACGGGGAATACTACATCTACTTCAGCAATATCGTCCGCAAATCAGCCCTGGAGCGCCTGGCCGAGGCCGATAGCCATGAGGTGGTGCGTGCCGTGCAGGAGCACTTCGCCGATTTCATCGTCACCAACCCCGACCTATATTCGTTGAATCTGGGCTTCCCCAACCAGCGGGTGTGGAGTCACTCGCCCGATCTGTGGAACCCAGATGCCCTCCAGAGGGCCACCGAGGGCGTTCTGGCCGCCTTGTTGGCTTTGAAGAAGAACCCTCTGATCCGCTACGAGAAGAACAGCCTCCTGGCGAAGAAGCTGGCCACGGAGGTTCGCTACCAATTGACGCAGGAGGAGCAATTGTTCAACTTTCGAAAGACCGATACCCCCCCGATCCTCTTGATCTTGGACCGCCGGGACGATCCAATTACCCCGTTGCTCACCCAGTGGACGTACCAAGCGATGGTCCACGAGTTGATGGGGATTCATACCGGGCGCGTCGATCTGCGGGATGTGCCCGAGATCCGACCGGAGCTTCGCGAGATCGTTCTCTCCCAGGACCAGGACCCTTTTTTCAAGAAAAACATGTACCAGAATTTCGGCGACCTGGGCCAAAACATCAAGGAGTACGTCGAGCAGTATCAGACCAAGACCCAGAACACCATGAACATCGATTCCATCGCGGACATGAAACGCTTCGTGGAGGATTACCCCGAGTTCCGCAAACTGTCCGGAAACGTGAGCAAACATGTCACCTTGGTCGGAGAGCTTAGCCGTCGGGTCGGGGAGGAGGATCTCCTGGACGTGAGTGAGCTGGAGCAGAGCTTGGCGTGTAACGACAACCATGCCAATGACCTCAAGGTATGTCTTCAAGTTCCCCCTGCTTCTTTTTTCCTGAATGGCGACTGATCATCTGGCGTGTAGAACCTGCAACGCATCATTCAGCTGCCCAGAGTGCCTGCCGAGAACAAGATTCGCCTGGTGACGCTGTACGCCATTCGATACGAGAAGCAGCCAAACAATGCCCTTCCGGTTTTGCTGGATCTACTCGTCACGGCCGGCGGTGTCCCCTCGTATAAAGTCAACATCATCCCCAAGCTGCTAGCCTACCATCACTCCCTGCAGGCCCCGCCGGTAGCCGGGGGTTTCTCAGATCTGTTCGAATCCACGTCTTTTTTCTCCGGCGCTCGCGACCGCTTCAAGGGACTCAAGGGTGTAGAAAACGTCTACACGCAACACTCTCCGCGACTGGAGGTGACACTGCAAAACCTGATCAAAGGCCGGCTGAAGGAGCTGCAGTATCCATTCCTGGACAATAGCGCCCATACCCGCGACAAGCCCCAAGACATCATCCTCTTCATGGTCGGGGGCGTGACATACGAAGAAGCCAAGATGGTCGCCCAGGTGAACGCCAGCTCGCCCGGCGTGCGGGTCGTCCTCGGGGGCACATCGGTCCACAACAGTACCAGTTTCCTAGAAGAGGTCGACGACGCGGTCAGCGGCTGGCCCGAGCCCGCTCCCTCCACCGCCGCCGGTCGGCTGCGGAGGGAGATGAATCGGTAGTTGGCTCATCCTCTTATCTTCCCATTATCTTCTCTTATTTTCTTTGACGCTTTTTATTCCACTGGACGGTCATGTTGTGACCTGGCGTCGGTCGGTGTTGGACAAGATGTCCCCCTCCCTTTCCCCCTTGTTTGTCGCTTCCTCGTGTATTCCAGAGCATTTTGATATCCTTTTTTTGAGGCCTAGGGAGGAGATAGCTAGGTCTGGGGTTTATATAGTAGATTGGCTTTGGGGGGTCAAGTGAATCTGATTCTTCGGTGCCATCCTAGGGACCTGTAAAGACAGCATACCTACCTAGGTTACATTGATGGCCAACATTGAATCCCTTGTAGCTTTGGGGAGGTCCTTACAACCTAATGATCAGCGCAGGGCGCTTCAAGCATGCTTATTTGTGCTCAAGCACGTAGCACACAGTAAGCAGAAATTATCTACTGGTGAGCACAAAAAAGGCTTGAATTGTTTAGTGAAGTAGAAATAAAGTAAATATGTACAGTCAATTAACCTTGGTTGGTTATGGGTCTATATAGAGGGAACTAATCAAACGAGACGAGATCTGTACGGCTGCCGTTCTGCCCGTGGCTTATTATAGACAGACATGGATCACATACGTAGTCGCCGGCGTCGTTCGTATCAGTCATACATAGGATATAAGAGAAGAAACAGATTATCCACATCAGGGGTACGGGTTGCTCCCGTGGAAGACAGCCGGTAAGGTAAAGTTTCCCAAGACGAACGCTCCGCTCAGTACAAAAAAAAGGGGAATGTGGGAGAAAAGAAAGAGATAGAATAGGAAGAATATGAGGGAAACTGTACATGGGAACTGAACATAGAATGTGAGCGGCAACGTGCAGGATGCGCTCGTGAGCTAGGTATTTGTCCTCGGCATTATGCGACGACTACTCGTGGGCTTCCAAAATACAAGTCTCCTTTGCATGCCATATGCGCCGTTTCTTGGCGACGTCCACTCCAAAGGTATCTTTGATGACGCCGTCTGCGTCTTGGTGGGAGACGGATTCTCCCTCGGCGTCGAGTAGATGTCGCAGCAGACGGACTTCTTCCACCGTGGCTCCGAACTCGTACTCTCCGCGGCAGAGGACGGTCACTCCGACTGTGGCGGTTGCTGATTCCCCGGGGTGAATGATGGGAAGCACCTGTTGCAACATGCCTGTCCAGGCGAGGCGTCGCGACAGGTCCAGGGCAATGTTGCTAGGCTGGTGGCGGAGGCTTGGTTGGAGACGAAGCAGAGGATGGACCGGTTTGGAAGTGCGGTTGCGGACGGTGACGGTGAGATCTAGCATATCGTCCGTCCGGACGTGATACTTCGATCGCCCGAGCTGGACAACGCTTTTCCCATCATCGGACGACGTGGGCTCCTCCGCCCGGGAGGGGTTCAAAGAGTAAGATACATCGACGTCCTCGAGGGAGAAGGCATCTACCATGCGCGTATTCAATCGCAAGTTCCTCATGTCGATTGTGCCTTTGCGACGGGCGGGGCCTTCGCTCCACGATCCGGACACGCGTTTGAGGAGCTCCTGTCGGTACCAGAACGTCTCGCGAGAGGCTGCTTCGCCTTCGAACGTGAGCTTGTGGGCACTGACCACAAATTGTCTCTTGACGCCGGTGTTGATGATAGGAATTGAGGCGTGAGGGTTGTCCAAATGGACACGCGGCAGCACCAGAACAAAGCGGGATGTCTGCCCTGGTTGAAGGTCCCCTGACACCGTATACTGTCCGGGCTTCTCCTCACCGGTGTCGGCGATGTCTTGCGTCGACATTGCCGTTGGCTGTTCGCTAACGCGCAAGGACACTGATAGAGGGTTGGGCCAAGCGTTGCGAAGATCAAGAAGTAGGACACAATGATCGGGTCCATACAAGCCGCGTCCAATGTGAGAAAGTACCGGCGAAAATGGATCGCTATCGGTCAATCGTGATGGAATAAGGTCAGTAGATTCTGCGGCACCAGCCTCAAAGTCGATGCCCTGGCGGTTCCACCAGGCGAAGTCGCCACTAAAGGGGAGAATATCACAACGAGCCACTTCTATACTGGCATTCACCGTGACAGTAAGCGGGACGAACAACTGGCGGGTATAGAATACCTCTGGCAGTTGACCGCGAGGAAGTCCCACGCGAGAATAATCGATCTGGATCGTGGAATCCTGCAGGCCAGTCTTGCCGAGGATATCGATGGTGAACGTGGCACTTTCACCTGCAGGAATAGCAAAGTCGCTCGGATTCAACCCCTCGCGACGCCACCGCAATGCCGGTCGGACGAGGTTGAGCTCCAGTTCGTAGATCTCGACTGGCAGCAGGTCTTTGTTGCTCAGCGCAGACTGGATCTGTCGGCCAGTAGAGTCTTGGAAAGTGAACAGAATGAAGTCCAGAGGGCAGAGTGATGTGTTCCGTAGTGTAATGCTGAAGGTTCCCATTTCCCCATCCAGGACCATGACTGCGGATTGCGATAATGACAGCGACTCTATCACGAGGGACGGTTGCTGACCGATTACCTTGACCTCACAAGTCGTGGTTGACGGTCCTTTTTTCATAACTTGCTTGCCGTCTCGCGACTCGGTTGAGCTCCAGGAAAGAGGTCGCTCCGTCGGAGGCTTCTTAGCCGCAAGCCCAGTGCGCTTGCATTTGCTTTCAACCTCGGGCCTCCAATGGCTCCTGAAGATGGGAAATTTCCGTTCTCTGCAGTACCGAACCTTAACAACACAACCAGTCACCTTGAGCGGTCCTTCTTGG